TTAACTTATAGTTTAACCTAGATTGTTTATTATAAAAAGAATATATAAAGTGTTATAAAAATTAAATTAATTTTTATTACCAATTCTTAGAATTATAATATTACTATTCTTATTATCTGTAGCCATGAAATTCTTGGTTAAGATTTCTATTTTTAATATTTAGATAATAATATTATAAGAAATATTTGACGGTATATACATTATAACAAAAAGGAATTTGTTTGCATATAGTTACAAAGAGTTTTTTCAAAAAACTTTTCTATACAATTATAATAACACCTAAAGTCTAATTTAAACTTTTTTAAAACTCAATGCAGTAAAAAATACAATAAACAATTTTTAGTCGATGATAAGGAAGTGATAAGCTCGTTTAACTTTTGCCGGCTTATTTTTAAGTAATTGAATGGGAACATTAGGTAAATACGAAAGGTTCATCGTAGTCTTCCTGATATAATTCTCTAGAAATGATCCCTTTTTTTTTTACATTACGTGACGACACCAAAAGATTTTTTTCATAATTGGTGAAAATATTAAAGAAATTGATTTTTTAAAAATTTGCGTATTCAAAAGATTGACATAAGATTTTGAAATTTATTTAATTTAATAGAATCAAACGAGTCAAGAGAGAATAACGCAAAGAGAAAAATAAAAGAAGCCATGACAGAGGTCAGACAAAACAGTTACATCAGTGATGACATGGAAGATAACAATTTTCGCGAAGAATTATTAAGTTGCGCAAAATTATTACATTTATCCAGCGATGGTACGTTTTTGAAATTACTGATCGTCATTTCGCCTCAGCTTTAAAGAATTCAATAACCCATTATTAGATTCTATACAAGACCCAATGTCACAAGTTACGTTGGAACATTTTCAAATACAAGACTATGAAAACGAATCAATAATAAATGAACCACCATCTGAGACTTCACTGTCGCCATTGGCAGAAATCAAAAATCAATTATCAGAAAATTGGGTACTGAACGAGGTAGAAGAAATAAACAATTTGCTAAAGGAGGTTTTAAATGATGCAAAAGTCACCGATATTGTTCTTTGCGAAGGTTCATTAAATTCTTGTTAAATCTCTCACGATTCAAATTCACACATTAACTTTATTTTTGCTACTTTTGATTCAGAAACATGTGCACACAAAACTCCTCCGATGATGGAGGAACCATTATTTTCAAAGCGCACGCAGAATGATGGGTTATACCCAATTCCCAGTCTGAAAGATTTATCGCGGCAATTTCCCACCAACGAGATCTCACTAGATCCTTTTTTTGACGACGAAATTGATGTCCTGTGGTATGTCATCTATATTTCAACTTAAAGAATAGATTATGTCTAATTATCGCGACTTTATCTGGAATCTACTTTTTTTTCTTAAAAATTATACAGCCCACTACAAGAAACCTTCTCCCGGGAAATCTCTCTAGAGTCTGATGACTTACAAGACAACGATTTTGAACACATGACTCCTTTAGAAGATTATAAATCTAAGTGGCCTTTACTGTATCTCGAAGAACCTGTAATAACTAATAAAATGAATCGAGTTGTTGAAAAAGACATACCGACTAGCATATCGGATATTATTCCGTTAGTGATGAACGAGGAAGGGATGGAAATAAATTTAAAAACCCAGAAGGAACAGTTGGTACCTGAAGAAAGTGGAGTTAAAGCTCCGTTAGAGATATTAAATGAATGGGGTGAGTCAATAAATTTAGACATGATGTAATCAAAGCATTTACAAGCATATTTTTTTTACGTACAAATTATTATTCAAAGAAGGTACGAACGAATTACTAATAAATGTAGAAGAGATATATAGTTTTGAGTCCAAAACGTTCGAAGTTTTTGATGAACCAACACCATTTCGAGAAACATTGCGATTAGGTATAATACGACTTTTCGGATTACATAATTAAGCTTGTTGAAATTAATAAATAATACTGGTT